CTTCTTGAGGGACCCAGCCGGATCCACAAAAGAGAAATATTGACAGGTATAACTATCGCAATGCTGCTGGGTCTGGGAGCAGCCGGAACGGCCACAGGAGTCTCAGCCCTAGTGACCCAGCACCAAGGACTGTCCCAGCTGCAAGCAACAATTGACGAGGACCTGCAAAGGATCGAGAAATCCATCTCCTTTCTAGAGAAGTCGGTCTCCTCACTCTCAGAAGTGGTCTTGCAGAACAGGCGAGGCCTAGACCTCCTGTTCATGCAGCAAGGGGGCTTGTGCGCCGCCTTGAAGGAGGAGTGCTGTTTCTACGCAGACCACACGGGAGTCGTGAGAGACTCCATGGCAGAACTCCGGAACCGACTGGCTCAGAGACAGAAAGACAGGGAGGCCCAACAGGGCTGGTACGAGTCCTGGTTCAATCAATCACCTTGGCTAACCACTCTGATTTTTGTCCTGATAGGTCCATTGGCGATGCTGTTTCTAACAGTCACCTTCGGACCATGCCTGCTGAACAAGCTGGTCTCGTTCGTTCAGAGCCGCCTGGAACGGACCAATATCTGGTACCTAGGCCGACGACAATTGCTGTGAATTCAACCGGAGAATTCAACCAGGGAACACCGTCAGTCACAAGATCCTCCGAACTTGTCTGACAAAAGCTTACTCAGGACTCCCAAGACCCTTTTCCCTTGTCAAGCTACAACCTTATACCTCATTTAAGTACCTATGTGCATGACTACCTCATTCATTTGTGAAAAGTGGGGGGGAGATGTGGTAGACAGGGAAAGGCGCTGCGGAAGATCTCGCGATGTAACGGAAAGCCAGGACCCTCAGATGCCCTTAGATAAGACCATCTGCTTCCCATAGATAAGAAACTAACATAGGAATGTAGCCTCCCCTAACCAAATTCCAGTAACTTTCCATCCCCTACCCAGTAACAGTCCACCTCTTACTAACCATAGATGGTAAAGACAGACCCATGCTGACGTAGAGACCCCTTAGACTATAAAAACCCAAGAGACGAGATAATAAACGCCTTTTGACTGTCCATCACATTGATGTCTGCGTGTGTCATTGGCCCGAGTGGCCCTGGTGAGTGGGCCACCGTGCTGTTCGTCTGAACCAGGTCGCCTGCCTTGCTCCAGAAGGCAACACGGGACTGAGACAGAGACCAAGGCTGGCAGTGGGACCGGGATCAGCACCAGGATCACACTGAGACAGGCACTGGGATCGGAAATGGGATTGGAAATGGGATTGGCACTGGGATCACTCCCAGACCTCTGCGTTCCTTCCGGGGAGCTTTGGCTGCATCCCTGGGCAGGATGGGGAGAGACCCCAGGGCAGGGCGGGACCCCCTTGGTTCACATTGATCTGGTGCAGCCATCCCGGTCCATATGGTCCAGTTTGGATGATCCCAGTCTCTGCTCCTAATCCATATGGTCCCAGCCTGTGAAATCCTGGTCCATATGATCGCAGTCTGTAAAATCTCAACCCATACAGTCCCAACCCATACAATCCAAGTCCGCATGACCCCCGTCTGTATAGTCCTGATCCATATGGTCCCAGTCTGTGCAGTCCCAGTCTGTGGGATCCCAGTCCACATGAACCCAGTCTGTATGGTCCTGCATGGCACACACCCCAAGGGTCTGGAATTCCAGTTCCCAGCCAGGAAAAGATGTTCCTGCCCTTGAACGCAAAGCTCTTAAGAAGGGGCCAAAAGCCAAGTGGAGCAAGATCCTACAGTGACATTTCACTGCCAGCCTTCAGAACTTCACCCATGGCTGTTGTAGCTCCTGCACTGGGAATTAAATCAGGGCAGGGTCTTTGGTGGCAGCTGCCCTTGCTCAAGGGAGACACTGAGAGAGAAACAGAGCAGGCAAAGAGAGGCAGGAGAGAACAGGGGACACAAACACAATCAGCTGAGAAGGTGGCACTCTGCAAAAAGAACTGCAAGCGACTGAAAATGAACGGGACAGAAATCAGTAACCCTGAAAGGTTTATTTACTATCAGATACATCCCACCCACCCAGTCCCACACAGTCCCCATCCCCACCGCTCCAAATTGGGATCCCACTTCTCCCAGTCTCCTCCCAACCCCATCTCACTCTGGTGGCTGTGGAATGGAGTGAGGTTGGCATGGAATTGAGTGCTTTAGTGTGGGAACAAGGCATTATGAAGTGAGATTACGCCTGTATGACTTAAATTCAGTTGTTTGGAATGAGATTCAAATGTTTTGAGGTGACCCTCTTGGCTTTTGGAGTGCAAACAGATGGAGAACACTGTGCAAAATCTCCCCTCACAGACCGCACAAATCCTCCAGGATTTTGCCCCCAAACCACCAATTCCGCTCTAAAACCTCTGAAATTCTGGAACTTTAGAGATCTTTGATCAATTTCTTTCATTTAACCCTGATTTGGCTGTTTTTCAGGGATGAAGATGAAGCAGAAAAAAATTAAGGTCAAACCAAAACGAGAAGCAGCCAGGTGTGTTGCCAACATGCATCACAGGGAATGTGAGTGACCAGGGCTGTACCCAAAGTGCCTCCTCCAGTGGGGGATGGAGCTGGAGCAGCGCACGAAGCTCTTCCCACACTTGGGGCACTCACAGGGCTTCCCTCAGTGGTGCCTTCGTTGGTGTCAGGTCAAGTTAGAGCGCTGTGAGAAGCTCTTCCCAGACTGGGGACACTCGTAGGGCCTCTCCCCAGTGTGGATGCGCCGGTGTCTGATGAGGGTGCAGCTGTCCCTGAATCCCTTCCCACAATCGGGGCATTGGAAGGGCCTCTCCTCTGTGTGAATCCAATAGTGCTGGAGGAGATGGGGGCTGGTCTGAAACATCTTTCTGCATTTATCACACTCGTAGGGCCTCTCCCCAGTGTGGATGCGCCGGTGCCTGATAAGGGTGGAGTTGTCCCTGAATCCCTTCCTGCACTTGGGGCATTGGAAGGGCCTCTCCTCTGTGTGACTCTGATAGTGGCAGAGGAGATTGGAGCTGGTTAGAAACCTCTTCCCACACTCCCCACAGTTGTACAGCCTCTCCCCAGTGTGGGTCCTCTGGTGCTTGGTCAGGTCAGACCTGCAGCTGAAGCTCTTCCCACACTCCCCACACTCATAGGGTTTCTCCCCTGTGTGGATCCTCTGATGCAGGATAAGGTGGGAGCTCTGGTTGAAGCTCTTTCCACAGTCCCCATACTCATAGGGCTTCTCCCCAGTGTGGATCCTCTGGTGCATGATCAGTTGGGATCTCCAGCTGAAGCTCTTCCCACACTCTGAACACTCATAAGGCCGTTCCCCAGTGTGGATCCTCTGATGGACGATCAGGCCGGAGCTCCTCCTCAAGCTCTTCCCACACTCCCCACACTTGTAGGGCCATTCCCCAGTGTGGGTCCTCTGGTGCTGGATCAGCCTGCAGCTCCACCTGAAGCTCTTCCCACACTCCAAGCATGTGTGGGGCTTCTCCCCATCATGGAGCTGCTCATGGAGTACCAGCTCTGAGCTCTGGCTCCATCTCTGGCCGCCTTCCCGGCCCTGGCTGGCTCTTTCCCCCTCAGATCCCTGCCAGCTGCGCTTGCAGTCCCTCCTCGTGCGGCATCTCCGGGCCTTTTCCTCCCCGTTGGCTTCCTGTGCCATGGAGCCGCTCAAAACGGCCTCTGCCACCAGGTTCTGCTGCGGGCATTTGTCCTCCCTGCTCTCCATGCTCAGCTCCTGCTCTGGGGGAGGAAGGACAACGACAGGATGGGATTTGCCTCCGTGCCACAGGCAAGGGCAAGGAGATCCCCCCAGGGCGTCCCGACCAGGACGGTACCGGCAGCCCCCGATGTCCCCCCGCGGGGCCTTTTCCGCTCAGCTTTGGACTTGTTCATTCTCCAGTCGTCCCCCCAAAAACCCAACCCAGGGACCCCCAGGGATATCTGGGCCGGCCTCCCTCTCACTGCTCACCTGCACGATGGGGGGCGGGCGATGATCCCGCAGGTGGGGGCTGCGAATTCAGGCCGGGCTCGAAACCCCTCTGCGCCTTCAGCTCAGCCTTGATCCGCCTTTGTCCCTCCTCTTCCTCCCTCTCCTCCTCTTCCATCCCCCCTCCCGCTCCTCCGTGTTATCCCCACCTCCTTCTCCTCTTTCATCCCGCCCCTTCCATCCCTTTTCCTCCTCCTCCTCCCTAACCCCACCTCCTTCTCCTTCCATCGCTGCTCTCTCTCCGCCTTCATCCCTCCTCTTCCATCCCTCCTGCCCCTCCTCCTCCCCCATAACCCACTGGAACCCTGAGCGGAAAGGGGGCAGGGAAAGGGGGGAAGCGTGGGGGGAAAGAGGGTAGGGAAAGGGCAGAACCCTGAGGGGAAAGGGGGCAGAGAAAGGGCGGAACCGTGAGGGGAAAGGGGGCAGGGAAAGGGCAGGAACCATGAGGGGAAAGGGGGCAGAGAAAGGGCGGGAATCGTGAGGGGAAAGGGGCGGGCTCAGGCCAAGGGCACCAACTGTGAGGGGACACTCTGGGAGGCGGCACTCTGCAAACAGAACTGCAACGGACTGAACCTGAACTGGAGAGAAAGCAGAGAGAAAGCAGTAAGTCTGGGAGTTTTATTTGCTATAAATACATCCCACACACCCAGTCCCGAGCACTTGAAATTGAGATCCCAGCACTTGAAATTGAGATCCCATATCTCCCAGTCTCTTCCCAACCCCATTCAAGCCATGTCAGCGGCTGTGGAATCAAGTGAATTTGTAAAGAGGTAGGGTTTGTTTGAGGTGGGAAAAAACTGCTTTGATGTGGGCCTGAATCCTTTCCGGGTAAGATCAAGCAGTTTTCACTGGGATTTGAGTGGTTTTGAGGTGACAGATCCATCCCTCTGGGCTGTTAGACTGCAGAGAGGGAGAAGAGAAAAAAGGCCAAACGAAAAGGAGAAGCAGCTGAGTGTGTTGCCAACATGGATCAAAGGGAATGTGAGTGACCACGGATGTGTCCAAAGTGGCTCCTCCAGTGGGGGATGGAGCTGGAGCAGCGCACGAAGCTCTTCCCACACTCGGGGCACTCCCAGGGCTTCCCTTACCGGTGCCTCCGTTGGTGTCGGGTCAAGTGAGAGCTGCTGGAGAAGCTCTTCCCACACTGGGGACACTCATAGGGCCTCTCCCCAGTGTGGATGCGCTGATGGATGATGAGGTCGGAGTTCTGCATGAATCCCTTTCCACAGTCGGGGCAGCGGAAGGGCCTCTCCTCTGTGTGAATCCGATAGTGCAGGAATAGATGGGAGCTGCTCGTAAAGCCCTTCCCACACTCGGAACACTTGTAAGGCCTCTCCCCAGTGTGAATCATGTGGTGCCTGACCAGGGTGGAATGCTGGCTGAAGCTCTTCCCGCACTGCCCACACTTGTAGGGTCTCTCCCCAGTGTGGATGTTCCGATGCTGGATCAGGCTGGAGCTGCGGCTGAAGCTCTTCCCACACTCGGAACACTCGTAGGGCCTCTCCCCATTGTGGATCATCTGGTGGCTGATCAGGTGGGAGCTCCTTCTGAAGCTCTTACCACACTCCTCACACTCATGGGGTCTCTCCACGGTGTGGATGCGTTGATGCTGCGTCAGGGTGGAGTTGTCCCTGAATCCCTTCCCGCACTCAGGGCATTGGAAGGGCCTCTCGTCCGTGTGAATCCAATAGTGCAGGAGGAGATAGGAGCTGGTCTTAAACCTCTTCCCACACTTGGAACACTCGTAGGGCCTCTCTCCAGTGTGGATCTTTAGGTGCACAATCAGGGCAGAAGAGTGGCTGAACCTCCTTCCACACTCCGCACATTCGTACGGCCTCTCTCCAGTGTGGGTCCTCTGGTGCTCGATGAGGCCGGAGCTCCTGCTGAAGCTCTTCCCACATTGCCCACACTCGTAGGGCTTCTCCCCGGTGTGCATCACCTGGTGCCTGATCAGGTGAGAGCGCCGTCTGAAGCTCATCCCACACTCTCCACACTCATAGGGCCGTTCACCAGAGTGGGTCTTCTGGTGCAGGATCAGGCTGGAGCTCCAGCTGAAGCCCTTCCCACACTCCAAGCACGTGTGGGGCTTCTCCCCATCATGGAGCTGCTCATGCAGCACCAGCTCTGAGCTCTGGCTCCATCTCTGGCCACCTTCCTGGCCCAGGCTGGCTCTTTCCCCCTCATATCCCGTCCAGCTGCGCTTGCAGCCCCTCCTCGTGCGGCATCTCCGGGGCTTTTCCTCCCTGTTGGCTTCCTGCGCCATGGAGCCGCTCAAAACGGCCTCTGCCACCAGGTTGTGCCGCGGGCATTTGTCCTCCCTGCTCTCCATGCTCAGCTCCTGCTCTGGGGGAGGAAGGACGAGGACTGGATGGGACTTGCCTCCGTGCCACAGGCAAGGGCAAGGAGATCCCCCCAGGGCTGTGCTGCAGCCGGGGCCGTGCTGGGCTGGGAGATGGAGCAGCACAGAGGGGAAAGAGGCACTGACTTCCTCCTTACCTGCCTCAGGGTCCCGGGGCATCTTCCTCTTCCTTGCAGCCTTCCCTGGGGTTGGCAATGGGAAATCCTGGAGTAAGAGGGTAAGAGCATAAGAGAGTAAGGTTCCCATTACAATACAATAAATCTTCTTCTCTGTTGAATTTTCTATTTCTCACTAACCAATCTAGGGCAAGATATAAATCCTATAGCATTTACATACAGCCTATAAAAATCATTACATCACCACACTGTGTTACATTTCAAACCATAAATACTTCTCTTTGGACTCCTCCTGCTGAGCTAGTAGGGTCTGCTCTGACCCGTGGGTCAGTCTGCAAGCAGAGGGAATTGTTTCATTAAAAGGGGATTACCTTCAGTCAGACCACACCACTGTTTTCCAATTGTTCGCTAACTAAGGTATCTAAAAGCTTGCTTTCATCTCAATCTTGCTTAGACTTTCCACATTATCAAAATCTTTTGCCAGACAATCATATTTATAAGGCTTCCCTGTTTCATCTTCCCCAACACACATTGAGTTTGAAGGTCCCTCTGCCCAAGTCCATCTCTACAAGTCACAGGACACCTGGGCTTCAGATAAACCTCCCAAACACCAAGATTCAGCCCTGAAAAAGCCTCCCAGGACTTCCCTGTCCCTGGTCCCTCCCCTTTGGTGTTCGGGGGTTCCCCCCTGTCCCATTTGCTGGGGTCACACTTGGATTGGGGGTCCCCTTTCTCCTTGGTGCCCACCCTGCCCAGGCTGCTGGCAGTCCCAGCAATACCAAAAGCTCCCCCATCTTGGCTCTCCCCATTTCGGGATGCCAGAGCTTTTATGGGCTCCCGGGCTCCCTTCTCCCCTCATTCTCTGCTTTGGGCTGCAGCACCTTGTGAGAGTCAGTCCGAAATATCCTTCACTTTTGCCTCACAATTACCACGAAGGGAGACTACTAAAACATTTAAAAACTGCTGAACCAGTGGGGGGGGAAATCATGTTCTTGACTCCTTGACTCCTACCTCCCTGTTTCCACAGGTGGTGTTTGCTATATGCGACACTGAACTCACAGGGGCACCCTGCCCTTTTCTGAACAATAGTCCTAGAACTTCTCCCCACCTCCTGGCCTGGCTGGTTTGAGTTTTGGGGTTGTCCCTCTTCCAAGAGAAGACCCCTCTTGCCCATCCTCAACCATTGTGACAGACAAGTAGAGATGTAGGCCTCTTCATCAAGGAACCGAGACAAGAAACCCCTGTGTGAGAAGGCCCCCTCACCTTCTTTCATAGACTGGGACTGAAACCCCCAACTCGGGGGAGGTGTGCGGGGGGGGTGGGGGGAGGAAAGCTGCCCAGAGCAAGCACAAGTGCGAGCACTGGGCCATGAAAACAATGGTTCTCGCTTGCTGCCTGGCTCAACTTTGTGTACCCCTGAACAAATACTCTTCTTTCCCCCTGAAGACCTTTGTTTCGCTTGTGAAATTCATTCCCTCTCTCCCCAAAGAAAAAATAGTATAACTGGGGGTCCAGATTAACTGTGCCTCCGAGAGCTCCCCAGACATGGCCTGGTGAACTTCGTCGGCTGGACCACAAAGGATAAAGCAGCACCACGATTGGTAGCTATAACCCATCCCCCCTTCTTCCTCCCTCTTTTCCATATATCCTTTTTCCCCCGGTTCCCCTCACCAATGCATTCCTGTTCTGGTTATTTCAATAAAATTACATTTGTTGATTGTTGCTGCAAATCTCTTGTGCCTTTGTTGGTTCTTTGCACCTTGAGATGATCCCTACGAACCATCAGGTTCTCCGTTCACTAGGACGGATCGTGACACGGCTCCAAGGAGTTCCCCCTGCCCCTCTCCAGGCTCCCGCCAATGGCGGCGCTCCCCCCTCTCTGGGCTCCCCACTTTGGTCTCCTGGGGGACACAGGGCTCTGCTCCTCCAGGCTGCCTCTGCCGGCAGCCGCCACCGGCACCCCCCGATGTCCCCCCGAGGGGCCTTTTCCGCTCAGCCTTGGACTGCTTCATTCTCCAAACATCTCCCCCAAAAAACACAACCCAACGACTCCCCAGGGTGTCCGGGCCGGGATCCCCCTCCCCGCTCACCTGCGCGATGTGTGGGGGCGATGATCCCACAGGTGGGGGCTGCGAATTCAGGCAGGGCTGGAGCGCGGCTCCGTCTGCTCAGCCTTGATCCGCCTTTGTCCCTCCTCTTCCTCTTCCTCCCGCTCCTCCTCTGTCTTATCCCCACCTCCTTCTCCTCCTCCATCCCTCCTTCCTCTCCTTCTCCCCCCTAAACCCGCCTCCTTCCCTCCTCTTGTCCCGCTCGTCCTCTTCCATCTCCGCTGCTCCTCCTCCTCCTCCTCCTCCTCCTTCCTATCCCCACCTCCTTCTTCTCTTCCATCCCGCCCCTTCCATCCCTTCTCCTTCTCCTCCTCCCCCTCCCCCTTCATTCCTGCCTTTCCCTCCCTCCTCCTCCCCCTTCATCCCTGCCCTTCCCTTCCTCCCCCTCCCCCATCATCCCTGCCCTTCCCTCCCTCCTCCTCCTCCCCCAGCAGCAGCCACACCCTCGGTGCCCCGTTCCCGCAGCCCTCGCAGCCCGTGGCGAGAGCGGGGATGGAGCCGGGACAGGTCGGGATGGGCAGCGCGGGGCTCTCGGCTGCTCCCAGCTGTTGCGGGCGGGGGGAACCCGGCCCGGGCCAAAGGAGAGGCAAACTGGGCAAACTGGGGGCTGCACATCCAAACTGGGCCTTGTTGGGGACCCTGCCTGGCCGCTGCCAGCCCTTGGGGCTCCTCTCGGCACATCCGCCAGGGGGGAACGCACACAGGGCAGGGGGATCCCAGCAGTGGCAGCACTGGGACTGGTTTCTACTGGGAGTGACTGGGATGACACTGAAGGTGACTGGAATCATACTGGGATTGACTGGGAGTGGCTGTGAGCAACTGGAATCATGCTGAAAGCAACTGGGGGGAAGTGGGAGTGACTGGGAGCATGCTGGGGCTGACTGGGATATACTGGGAGAGGGTGGCAGTCACAAGGATCATACTGGAGGCTCCTGGGGTTATGCTGCATTGACAGGGAGCAACTGGGATCACACTGGGGGCCACTGGCATCAGACTGGGAGTGACTGGAGTTAGACCGCAAGATACTGGGATCATACTGAGACTGACTGGGATCATACTGGGAGTAGCTACAATTGGACTGGGATTGTAGGGGGTGTGATTGGTCCCTGTCTGGGGGGTGCTGGGACCTGCCAGGCGCATGCTGGGAGCCGACTGCGCAGCCACTGGGAGGAACTGGGAGCAACTGGGAATGGCAGGATGCAGCTGCAGCAGCGGCAGCTCCCCGGTGGCCCCGTGCCGGTGCCGCTCGTGGTGCCGGCTCTGGCTGTGCCGAGATCCCGCTGGAAAGGGATCCCAGCCAGGGACCCCATGGACACCAACCGGGGGAACCCCGGGCCGGGCTCCGACAGCGCCACAGGCAGGGAACGCAGGGACAGGAGAACGGGGGAGACACCGAGATTTGGGGGCTGGGAGGGCACGGGGAAACCAAAGGGGGAACCAAAGGGAGAGCTGGGAGAGCAGGAAACGGGGTTTGGGGGTTCCAGGACTGAGAAAAGGGGAGGCTGCGGTGGGCAGAGGGGGGACGGGCTGGGCTAAGGGAGTTCCTGCATGCAGGAAAGGGAGCTCCAAGGGTCCCCAGTGTCCCCATTCCCAGCAAAAGGTGGGAAAAGCCAGGATGGCTGGGAATAGGGGTCCCGGGTGTCCTCGGTGTGGAGCAGGGGCTGGGGAATGGGAAAGGCAGGAATAGGGGTCCAGGGGGTCTCTGGGGGAAGGAAAAGAGGGCTATGGGGGCTGGGAGAGGCGGGATGGCCGGGAAGGGGGTGCGGGGTGGATCCCATACATGGGAATGGGGGTTCAGGGGTTGTTCGTGCCGGATAAGGGGGTGCAGGGTGGATCCCCTAACCGGGAATGGGAGTGCGGGGGGATCCCGGCGCCCACGAATGGGGGTTCAGGGGCCCCCCGGTGCTCCGGGATGGGCGATCAGAGAGTCCCGGTGCCGGGGGTCCCCCTCAGCTCTCGCCGCAACCCCGGGGCCCCAGCAGCGCCCCCAGCCCCAGCGCTGGAGCCATCGCGCTGCTCCTCCTCACTCCCAGTGTGATCCCAGTACGGTCCCAGTAGAACTCAGTCACCCGGGAGCTGCTCCCAGGATGATCCCAGTACAGCCCAGTCACTCCCACTGCTGCCATCCCCCCCCACCCCTCGCTCCGTTCCGACCTGTCCCGGCTCCATCCCCGCTCCTCCCGCCGGCTGCGAGGCCTCCGGGACCGGGGGAGGAGGAGGAGGCAGGGAGGAAGAGGCGGAGCGGCAGCAGGAAGCGGCGAGAGCAGAGCGCGGCCGGAATCGGGCGGCTCCGGCGCTGCCTGAACTCCGGACCCCGGGAGCATCGCCCCCCATCCCGCAGGTGCCCGGGGAGGTTCCCCCCTGGCCCAGCTGCTGGGGGTCACGCTTGGACTGGGGGTGCCCTGTCCACTCGTTGCCCGCCCTCCCCAGGCTGCTGGGAGACCCAGTTGGCTCCCAGCATGGGCCTGGTAGCTCCCAGTAATCCCCAGTCAGGGTCCAATCACACCCACTCTAACCCCAGTATGATTGTAGCCACTCCCAGTATGATCCCAGTCACTGCCAGTCTGATACCAGTGTGATCCCAGTTGCCCCCTGTCAATGCCAGCATGACCCCAGGAGCCTCCAGTGTGATCCCAGTGACTCTGTCTCTCCCAGTATATCCCAGTCACCCCCCGCATGCTCCCAGTCACTCCCACTTTCTACCAGTTGCTTTCAGCACAATTCCAGTTGCTCACAGCCACTCCAAGTCAATCCCAGCATGATTCCAGTCTCTGTCACTGTGATCCCAGTCTAACCCAGCATGGACCCTGCTGCTCTCACTGTGATTCAAGTTTGATCCCATTTGCCCCCGAGTTCCAATTGTTCCCAGTTCCTCCCATTATGATCCCAGTTAACCTGAGATTAGTCCCAGTCCCTCCCAACAGGGTCTCAGTCATGCCCAGTTGCCCTGAGCATTGTCCCAGTTGCCCCCAGCAAGATCCCAGCTGTTCCCAGTGTGGTTCCAGTCCCCCCCAGTATGGTTACAGGCATTCCCAGTACATCCCAGTTACCCCAGTACAGTTCTAGTTACCTCAGAATGATCCCAGTCTTTCCCAGTAAATCCCAGTTGCCCTAGTTATAGTCTCAATCTTCTCAGCATGGTTCCAGAACCTTCTAGACGATCCCAATTTCTCCCAATATATGCCCATTTTCCTCTCAACATGGGCCCAGTAGCTCCCAGTAAGCCCCAGTCAGGTTCCATTCATGCCCAGTATAATCCCAGTATGACTGTAGCCACTCGAGTATGATTCCAGTCACTTGCAGTCTAATCCCAGTTGCTCCCAGTCACTCCCAGTCTGATGCCAGTGCCCCCAGTGTCATCCCAGTTGCTCCCAGCATGGGCCCAGCTGTTCCCAGTGTGCTTCCATCACTCCCCTGTGGTTACAGACACTCCCAGTATGGTCCCATTTGAATACAGTTGTCCCTGCTCTAGTCTGAATCACTCCCCATATGATCTCAGTCCCTCCCAGCATGGTCCCACTCACTCCCAGTTGCTCCCAATGTGGTCCCAGTTCTCCCCAGCATGGTCCCAGTTGTTCCCAGTGTGATTCCAGTCATTCCAGTATGGTTACAGACACTCCCAGTATATCCCAGTTGTCCCCAGCATGTCTGTAGTCATTTCCAGGCACTGCCAGTGGCCCCAGTAAGGTGTCAGTTCTCTCAGTATGATCCCCCAGTCATAGCCAGTATATCCCAGTTGCCTCCAGCAGGCATCCAGTCCTTCCCAGTTCCTCCAGTTTGCTTGCAGCATCATCCCAGTTTCTCTCAGTTGTTCCCAGTAGCCCAAACTGTGATCCCAGTCACTCACTTTCAACCCCAATATGATCCCAGTAAGCTCCAGTTTGATCCCCGTCACATGCCAGCCCTCCAAGTGTGGTCCCAGTATAATCCCACTTGCTTCCAATGTCTCCCAGTATGGTCCCAGCTGCCTCCAGCATGGTTCCAGTTGCTTTCTAGATCAACCCAGTCAGTCCCAGTATGATGCCATTTGCTGCCAGCGTGCTCCCAGTTGGTCCAAGTCAGGCCCAGTATAGGGGATGATGTGCAGGGTGTGTTCCCAGTTGCTCTCAGATACTCGCAGTATTAGCCCAGTCCCTCCTAGTATGATCCCAAGATGAGCCCAGTGTGCTCCCAGTCCCTGCCAGTATGAACCAGTTGTGCTCCACATGGTTTCAGTTGCTCTTTTTCACACTTGCTTTCCTTCCAGTCACTCCCAGTATATCCCAGTTTACCCCATTCCCTCCAGCATCTTTATAGTTCCTTCCAGTATGATCCCATTTGCTCCCAAGCAATTCCAGTCAGCCTCAGTGTAGGGGCACTCACTGCCAGTATGATCCCAGTCACCTCCAGCATGATCCTAGTTCATCCCAGTATAAGTCCAGCAGTTTCCAATCACTTCCAATGTGCACCCAGTCACTCCCAATTTCTGCCAGTTGCTCCTAGCATCTTTCCAGTTGCTCACAGGTGCTCCCAGTCACCCTCAGTATAATCCCAGTCACTCCCAGTTTATCCCATTTGCCCCTAACATGGTCTAAATTGCTCCCCACGGGCTCCTGCTCACTCCCAGTATGATCCCAGTATGATCCCAGTATAATATCAACACAAACCCAGTACAGTCCCTGCATGATACCAGTGTGATGTCAGTACAAAGCCAGTACACTCCCAGTCACTCCCAGTACGATCCCAGTGCAGCCCAGTCCCTGGCAGTGCTGCCACTGCTCGGATCCCCCAGCCCTGTGTGTGTTCCCCCCTGGCGGATGTGCCGAGAGGAGCCCCAAGGGCTGGCAGCGGCCAGGCAGGGTCCCCAGCAAGGCCCAGTTTGGATGTGCAGCCCCCAGTTTGCCCAGTTTGCCTCTCCTTTGGCCCGGGCCGGGTTCCCCCCGCCCACAACAGCTGGGAGCAGCCGAGAGCCCCGCGCTGCCCATCCCAACCTGTCCCGGCTCCATCCCCGCTCCTGCCACGGGCTGCGAGGGCTGCGGGAACGGGGCACCGAGGGTGTGGCTGCTGCTGGGGGAGGAGGAGGAGGGAGGGAAGGGCAGGGATGAAGGGGGAGGAGGAGCAGGGGTTGGGGGGGAAGAGGAGGAGGAGAAGGGATGGAAGGGGCGGGATGGAAGAGACGAAGTAGGTGGGGATAGGACAGACGAGAAGGAGGAGGAGGAGGAGGGGGGATGGAAGAGGAGGAGCGGGAGGAGAAAGAGGAGGGAAGGAGGCGGGTTTAGGGGGAAGAAGGAGCGGAAGGAGGGATGGAGGAGGAGAAGGAGGTGGGGATAAGACAGAGGAGGAGCGGGAGGAAGAGGAGGGACATAGGCGGATCAAGGCTGAGCAGACGGAGCCGCGCTCCAGCCCTGCCTGAATTCGCAGCCCCCCCCCCCCCCCCCCCCCCCGTGGGATCATCGCCCCCCACATCGCGCAGGTGAGCCGGGAGGGGGATCCCGGCCCGGATATCCCGGGGGGGTCGGTCGGTTGGGTTTTTGGGGAGATGTTTGGAGAATGAAGCAGTCCAAGGCTGAGCGGAAAAGGCCCCTCGGGGGGACATCGGGGGTGGCGGTGGCGGTTGCCGGCAGAGGCAGCCTGGAGGAGCAGAGCCCTGTGTCCCCCAGGAGCCCAAAGTGGGGAGCCCAGAGAGGGGGGAGCGCCGCCATTGGCGGGATCCTCAAGAGCCTGGAGAGGGGCAGGGGGGACTCCTTGGAGCCGCTGCAGCCCCGAGCAGAGAATGAGGGGAGAAGGGAGCTCAGGAGCCCGGTACCCCCGTGTAAGGGATGGTCCCAAGTTTCCCTCATTTGCCTCTCGACCCTCGCAAGGACAGAGACCCAGACCCTGAAATTCTTGACTGCAGTTCTGGCCTGGCTGAGGTGGATGCTTGCCAAGTGATTGTTTGCAGCTGTGCTTGCTGTGCCCAGGCTGCCCTGTTTGGCGCAGGGCCTGGCAATGAGCGGCTTGCTCTGTGCGCTTACAGCTGCTTCACGATCCCCGCTCACCACAACAGCCCATGAATTTCCCTCCTCTCGGCCAGATGTCACTGGCGTTAACTTTGCTGATTCCCCACGGAAGATCCTTTTCTGCCTCACGAGTGCTGACAAGGACGGGGATTGAAGCCCCCTCCCAATGACTGAGACCGTTAAAATTCTCTCCCGGGGGCGCTGGGCTGACTGGAGCGGGATGTCTGCTAAGTGCTGCCTGCAGGTGTGTTCGCTGGACCAAGACTGGTTTCCCATGGCAACCAGTCCTGAAACAATGGGCCCCGCTCACTGCTGGGGCTGGTTTGTCCTGTTTGGAACTGGACTCTCTGGACTTGTTCCCAACTTTTTCTCCCCTGTCCTGTACCTGTTCCCTCGACTATAAAAGACCCCTGAGTTAACCAAAGACTTTGAGATTCTTCCCAACATGACCAGACAGATCTATTGGCCAGACCATGAGGATTTTGTCTCTCCATTGGTAACTATTCCTCCCACTCTTTCTCTCTCTCTCTCTCTCCTTTACTTCCTTTCTAATACTTTTATCACATTTGCTGTGGGCACTCAATAAAAGGTGCATTTGTTCTGGATGATACTGAAAGTCCCCCTACTCTGTATCTTTTGTACTCTGAGATGGGTAAAAGGAACCATCACAAGTCCCGCTTCTACCAGTGGATCGTGACACCCCGGCATCCTGAAATAGGGAGAGCAAAGAGGGGGGAGCTTTTGGCACTGCTGGGACTGCCAGCAGCCTGGGCAGGGTGGGCACCAAGGGGAAGGCAGACACCTAATACAAGCGTGACCCCAGTAGCTGCAACAGGGGGGAACCCCCTAACAACAAAGGGGAGGGACCAGGGATGGCGAACTCCTGGGAGGCTTTTTCAGGGCTGAATCTTGGTGTTTGGGAGGTTTTTCTGGAGCCCAGGTGGCTAGAATTGTAGAGATGGACTTGGGCAGAGGAATCTTCAAACTCAACATGCTCATCCCTTGTTTTCCCCAAACCAGGATTTCCCATTGCCGACCCCAAGGAAGCTTTGAGGAAGAGGAAGATGCCCAGGGACACTGAGGCAGGTGAGGAGGAAGTCAGTGCCCCTTTCCCCTCTGTGCTGCTCCATCTCCCAGCCCAGCACAGCCCCGGCTGCAGCACAGCCCTGGGGAGATCTCCTTGCCCTTGCCTGTGGCACGGAGGCAAATCCCATCCTGTCCTTGTCCTTCCTCCCCCAGAGCAGGAGCTGAGCATGGAGAGCAGGGAGGACAAATGCCTGTGGCAGAACCTGGTGGAAGAGGCCGTTTTGAGCGGCTCCACGGCACAGGAAGGCAACGGGGAGGAAAAGCCCTGGAGATGCCGCACGAGGAGGGGCTGCAAACGCAGCTGGCAGGGATCTGAGGGGGAAAGAGCCAGCTAGGGCCGGGAAGGTGGCCGGAGAGGGAGCCAGAGCTCGGATCTGGTGCTGCATGAGCAGCTCCATGATGGGGAGAAGCCCCACACGTGCTTGGAGTGTGGGAAGGGCTTCAGGTGGAACTCTGAGCTGAACAGGCACCAGAGGACCCACACTGGGGAGAGGCCCTATGAGTGTGGGGAATGTGGGAAGAGTTTCAGCCGGAGCTCCCACCTGATCGTGCACCAGAGGATCCACACGGCGGAGAGACCCTACAAATGCAAGGAGTGTGGGAAGAGTTTCAGCCATAACTCCAGCCTAATCAACCACCTCGTGATCCACACTGGGGAACGGCACTATGAGTGTGGGGTGTGTGGACAGAGCTTCAGCCTGAGGTGCAACCTGATCAAGCACCAGATGATCCACACAGGGGAGAGGCACTACGAGTGTTCTGAGTGTGGGAAGCGGTTTCAGACCAGCTCCAATCTCCTCCGGCACTATCAGACTCACACAGAGGAGAGGCCCTTCCGCTGCCCCGAGTGTGGGAAGGGATTCCAGTGCAACTCCCACCTCATCAGACACCAGCACATCCACACTGGGGAGAGGCCCTACGAGTGTGATAAATGCAGGAAGAGGTTTCAGACCAGCTCCAATCTCTTCCGCCACTATCGGATTCACACAGAGGAGAGGCCATTCCAATGCCCCGACTGCGGGAAGAGATTCAAGCACAACTCCATCCTTGTCACCCACCGGCGCATCCACACTGGGGAGAGGCCCTACGAATGTCCCCAGTGTGGGAAGAGCTTCTCACAGAGCTCTAACTTGACCCAACATCAATGGAGGCACCACTAAGGGAAGCCCTGCGAGTGCCGCCAGTGCAGGAAGAACTTCGTGCGCTGCTCCAGCTCCATCCCCCACTGGAGGAGGCACTTTGGGTACAGCCCTGGTCACTCACATTCCCTGTGATCCATGTTGGGAAAACACCGGGCTGCTTCTACTTTTGGTTTGTGTGGGATCTCAGTCTCTCAGAACTGGGGTGCAGGGTGAACAAGACCCCCCCTGGGGGGCTCGGGAGTCCTGGAGTGCTGCCAGAAATGTCTGGTGGCTGGACTTTGATCCCACATGGGAGATGACATCAGTATGAGGACGGGAGGATTTCACTGGGGTGAATGGTGAAGGAACAAGTTAATTGGAGTGTGAGATACAGGGTTTAAGATCCCTGTACAGGGGGGTCTAGAGAGGCAAGATGGAGGGATTGGGGCGTGCCCTTCTCCTTCTTCTTCTTCCTCTAGGCCTCCATCTTCTGTGGTGATGTTGGCACTCCGGGATTGGACCTTACTAGGGGAACACTGGTTAATATGGGTAGAGGGTATTGGAGAAAAATGATAAATATTGTATACGTAACTCCGGGTATAAAGATAGGTGACCGCCCCAGGGGCTTTCAGTGTGTGCCCATGGCTGACTGCTGAGCAGAACTCTGTCAGGCCAAGAGAAAATCTTTTAGATAAGCAATTAATAAACACCAAGACCAAGAACAAATCTGAAGCTTCCTCTCGTCCTTTCGAACCCAGGGGCCCAAGGCCATCTTTGGGCTTTTCCCCAGACCATCTAAACAGCCCAGAAATCCAACAATTGGCGTCCGCTGTGCGGGCTATCTCCCACCAAACCTTTCGGGGGGGGGAAAGCCCTGAAGAGCTGAAGAGCCAAGAGAACAGCACTGATAACTCCAGAGGAGGGAAGCCTGAAGAAAGAAAGAAGAAAAAGAAAAAACCGGCCGGGAGAAGCTGCAAAAATCAGCAGTCACTGAGAAACTCCATCTCTCAGCTTCTGCTGAAGACAGCTCGTAGCAGAGCGGCCTGGACTGGGACCAGAAAGGCGCCTCTGATCCATCCCTCGTGATCTGCTGGACGGAGAACAAGGGCCTCCAGACCACGCTGACGACAGATTCGGTAAGAAGGCCAAAATAAAATCATGGGGGCAACACTCTCCCAAGAACAACGGGAAATCTTATCCACCTTACAAAGTGTAGCAGAATTATATACAGAAGGGATCCCAAAGAAAGAATTAAAACAGCTGTTATTATGGGCAAGGCTCAATTATCCACTTGCAGTAACATATCTGTTGTTCGAAGTGGGGTTTTGGCAAGAGATTAATAGGCATTTATATATTTTAGCAACAAAAAAAGATGAGACAGCGTTAAAGCTACTCTCGCCGGCAAGAATCATGTTACAAGGTATTTCAGTGCAGTCTAAAAGACTGGAAAAGCAGCGAGAAGCTGCGGTACCCTCAGAGAAGGGGGCGGAGCGGCAGAGCTCCGGGAAAAAAATTGCTCTGGCTTTGAAAGGCCAGGGGGAAAGGGCTCTCGAAAAAAGAGAGCAGGAAAAAATATTAAAACCCCCGATCAAAAAATGCAACAAACCCCAAGGGCGTCCTGAAACTCCAGAGAGTGTGGAGGAGTCAGGAGCAGAAGGGGGGGAGCAGGAAGATAAGGGATCGGGGGGGGGGCCTGTTCACGGTGAAAGCAGCGACGCGGCGGCGGCGGCGGACGCGAGCAGCGCGGGTGAGGATGAGGAGACGCGCGCGGAGGGCGAAACTCGCAAAAACCGGGGTGTAGACTCACACGCGAATGCGGAAGGCGGGCTGAGGGAAAATTTGCAGCCTCAGAGGGCCGCCGCGGCGGGACGCAGGAGGCGCGCGGTTGTGACGTCAGAGCCGGTGCGACGGTCAGCTCGAATCGCGGGTAGAGCCGGGGTGCCGGCGGGAGAGGCGAACACAACGTCAGAGGAGGAGGGGTTGGGTTCTGGGACAGACCGAGGGGCGGGGACCTCGGAGGTGAGACAGGGGGGAGACGATGATGACGTCACCTTGGGGGACACCGGAAGTAGCTCAGAGAGTACGCACGCGCAGAGAGTAAGACGCGGGCGGGGGCCCGAGCCCGGTCCCCTGTGACGTCGCGGGTGAGGAGGGGCCGTGTTAGGGATTCTACGTCCCGGGGCTCCACACCATCTCCAGATCTGGCGCCTTTGGTCCCGAGCCTCGGAGTCTCAGTTCCTTCCCTTCATGGGAGACGCCGAGCAGGAAGAGGAAGTGGGGCAGTCGAGATTGCACCGTCATCCGAGCCAGGGAGGCCGGTGACAGCGCCACCTAGTGGCAGGAGGGCAGAAGTGCACGACATGCCGGGTCGGCTCGGCGGAGCCACAGCGCCATCTCGTGGCGAGACTGCAACAATGCAGCAATTTTTTCCAACAATATATAAAAAGAAAAGCACCTCGAAGAAAACAATGTTAACACGACAAAGGGATTATCCATCCACTTCGGGATTTCATGAAGATGATGAAAGCTCAGATGAAGAACAGCTACAAGGGGAAGATGTCATAAGGATCACAGCATCGGAAGGTGTCCCAACATGGATGCTATCAGCAGCAGAAGCAGCAAAAAGCTTCTTGCATTCATTCGATACAGTAAAGAAGAAATATCAACAGGATCCTCGAGTTTCCTTTTCGGATTTAGGAGCAAGGCCAAAAACCTCAAGGCGAAAAATGAGACACTACGAATCACCGATGACATCTACAACACCATTATTCATGCAAATCCCAATGGAGTCTGATGAAGAGGGGTTTCAAGAGCCGGTGAAGACAATGGATTGGAGGCAAATCAGAGAAGCATTGGAAAAGGAAAAGCATTTATTCCCGGGATCAGGGGATTTGACAATGCCAGTGACATATGATGCCCAGGGACAGAATCCAAGGTGGGAAAGGATGGGTCATGAGACACTCAAAGACTTAGGGAAGGCAGCTCAGACTTTTGGGCTGAACTCACAATACTTCAAACAGCTATTAAGAGGGACATTCTCTATGTATGATCTCACACCATATGACATTCGAAGTATTGTGGCAATGATCCTCACTGACACACAGAGTCTTGTCTGGGAAAAAAGGTGGAGAAAATATCTTGCTGAGTTGCGGAACAGATACCAAGGTGGGCCGAATGCGAACCTCACAGAAGGGCAATTAGCAGGGGATCCTCCAGATAACAATCCAGGGGAACAAGCAGCGCGGCTTCCACGGAGAGTGTTAAGCGACATCAAAGAAGCAGCGCGATTGGCAATCATGCAAATTACGCCGACAGGAGCTCCAGATGTCCCGTTCTCTTGCATCAGGCAAGGTCCCACAGAGCCATTCATGTCATTCATCGACCGACTCACGCAAGCCGTGGATCGACAGGTGACAACAGAAGAAGTGAAGAGGCCTCTCTTGGAAAATTTAGCTTTCGGCAATGCCAACCCGGATTGTCAACGGGTGATTAGCACCATGCCAGGACGGCCATCCTTGGCAGAGATGGTGGAGGCATGCAGCAAGGTGGGGACGCCTCAGCACGTCGCAGCGATTGTAAAGGATGAATTAAAAGAGGAATGGGAGAAACAGCTAAGGGGACGCTCAGAAGGGCAATCTGAGGACAAGACATTGGAGAAGATGTTCGAGAAATTACTTCATCAACAGGACGAAAATATCAACAAAGTTCTTGCGGCAATGCAGAAAAGAAACAGACCCCAAGGAGGACAGTGCTACGGATGTGGGGAATCTGGGCACATGAAAAGGAATTGCCCACGGACACATATACCAACGCCAGTCCAGAGAGCGGAAAGACCAATTTGCGCACGGTGCGGAAGAGGAAGACACTCTGTGAAAGAATGTTATTCCCGGACAGATGTGGAAGGAAATCCGTTGCCGCATCCGGGAAACGGGAAATTGAGCGCGGGAAATCCCCGGCGCGCTCCGACACAAATACTGGCGGTGTCACAAGAACAGACAGGGCAGTCATCAGTGAGCGACAAGCAGATGCCCTCAGCAAAACCCTCAGTCGATTCCACAGTGACCCAGACCTCCTCGCACCAGGGGCACAGTGTGCATTGGCAGCTTCAAAACTAGTATGCTTTCTAGATGAAAGTCATGCGGAGATACCAACAGGTATCTGCGGGGACTCATACAAGAAACAAGATTTTTTGATAGTTGGACAAGATAAGTGCAGTATTCTTGGGCTCATTGTCTATCCGACAGTTGTCTCAGCAGACAAAAATACAGAGTTAACAGTTCTGGCAAGAGCGCTTCGTCCACCATTGACTGTACCGGAAAATACTGTGGTTGCGAGAGCCTTTGCATTGCCACCACACGCAGTTGGAGAGGTCATGTCAATCTTCGACGAAGAAGGTCTCCCTATGAAAGAGCATGTTGAAGTACATACAACATGGGTGAAGCACATAGGTCGAGACCGACCCACGCTCACATGCCAATTGACATGTGGGGACAGGACAATATCGATCAGAGGTATGCTCGACACAGGGGCGGATGTAACAGTAATATCGTACATCTTTTGGCCACGCAATTGGAGCTTGGTCGCGCCATTGGGCTCTCTCTCAGGCATCGGGGGAGCATCTCTGTGTCTGCAAAGTGAGAATTCCGTCGTTGTCACGGGACCAGGAGATAAGACGGCGATCATTCGTCCTTTTGTCGTTCAAAAGCCGATCACAGTCTGGGGTCGGGACCTTTTGGCACAATGGGGCGCGAAGATCGAAATGGGTTTTTAATAGGGGTCACTGCAGCACTCGCCACACTGAAGTTGACATGGAAAACAGATGATCCAGTTTGGGTGGATCAGTGGCCCCTTGAGCGGAAAAAATTGAGTGCTTTGAAAGACCTGGTCCAAGAACAATTGCAGAAGGGACACATCAAGCCAACAGACAGCCCTTGGAATTCTCCGGTGTTTGTCATCAAGAAAAAGCTGTCGGGCAAGTGGAGGTTGTTACACGACCTCAGGAAGATCAACGAAGTCATAGAAGACATGGGGCCACTTCAGTTGGGACTTCCATCTGTCTCGATGATTCCCAGAGATTGGCAGCTTGTGGTCATTGACCTCAAGGATTGCTTTTTCAGTATCCCACTCCATCCAGATGATGCTCCGAGATTTGCCTTTTCAGTCCCGAGTATCAACAGGGAAACGCCTCTGCAGCGGTACCATTGGGTCTGCCTTCCACAAGGCCTGAAAAATTCTCCGACGATCTGTCAATGGTACGTGGCGCGAGCTTTGGCACCAGCACGAAAGAAATTTCCGAAGGCGAAGATCATTCATTACATGGATGATTTGCTCATCGCAGCATCAACACGACAGGAGCTGCCAGAAGCTCGTGACTGTGTGATCGCAGAGGTGCAAAAGGCAGGTCTGGAAATCAGCATTTCAAAGATTCAAGAGGTTGCACCTTGGAAATATCTGGGGTGGAAAATCTCAGAGAAAACAATAAAGCCTCAAAAGGTGGAGATCAGCACAAAGGTCAACAATTTGCATGATTTGCAACAGCTTTTGGGAGAAATCAACTGGATGAGACCGGTTTTGGGAATCACAAATAGTGACATTCCAGCACTGCTTGATCTCTTGAGAGGAGACACAGACATTCGTTCTCCCAGGACACTCACACCAGAAGCAAGAAAAGAGTTGGAGAAAATCTCGGACGCGATACAGAAAAGGCAGGCACATCGATTTGTTCCATCGTTGCCTTTTCAGTTGGCAGTGCTGGGGAAGAAAACGCAGTTCCATGGTTTGATCTTCCAATGGGATGAATCACAAAAGGACTCTTTCATAATCATAGAGTGGATTTTCCTACCGCACAGGCCCGCGAAAACGATTCTCACAGATCTGGAGATGGCAGCACAAATCATCATAAAGGCGAGAACAAGGCTGCTGACAATGGCAGGAAGAGAATTCTCAGTCATCAGGTTACCTCTGAAACGAGACTACTTCGATTGGGCAATGCAACAGTCGAAAGACCTGTTAATCGCATTGTTAGCGTTCCCAGGAGCTTGCACAATCCACTTTCCCCAACACAGAATACTGCAATCGCAAATATGCTATAGAGCAAAACCACAGATAAGTGAAGAACCTTTGGACGGGATCACCGTGTTCACGGATGGCTCGGGGAAGACACACAAGTCAGTGATCACGTGGAGAGACTCAACGACAGGGGATTGGGAATCAGACGTGAGGATGGTTCAGGGCTCTCCACAAATTGTGGAGTTAGCAGCCGTTGTCCGAGCATTTCAGTTGTTCAAACAGCCTCTCAATCTGGTGACAGATTCCGCATATGTTGCGGGTGTGGTCAAGAGATTGGAGGGTTCGCTCTTGAAAGAAGTCAGTAATGAGGTTTTATACTCATACCTGACAAGCTTGAAAACACTGCTAGAGAGCAGGGAAAGGGAGTATTTTATCACACACATTAGAGCGCACACAACACTTCCAGGGTTTTTAGCGGAAGGGAATGCTCGGGCGGACAGGTTGACAATGCCCATTTTGCAAACACTGCCGGACATTTTTGAGCAGGCAAGGTTAAGTCATGCGTTCTTTCATCAGAATGCGCAAGCACTGATGGAGTCCTTTCGTCTCACAAAGAGTCAGGCGAGGGAGATCATTAGTGCTTGTCCAGACTGTCAGCTTGTGCAGCCACCTTCTTCTACCGGGGCCATCAATCCGCGGGGGCTGCAAAGTCTTCAGTTGTGGCAAGCTGATGTCACAAAATACCCATCTTTTGGGAAGCTCAAAAATGTTCATGTTTCTGTAGATACATTCTCAAGTGCAGTCTTTGCTTCAGCACATGCTGGAGAAACAGCCGACCATGCTTGCCGACACTTTCTGCAGGCATTTGCAGCATTAGGTGTGCCTCAGGAGATAAAAACAGATAATGGTCCAACATACACAGGCAGGGTGCTTGACAGATTCCTGAAAAGATGGGGTGTCAGACACACGTTTGGTATTCCGCATTCACCCACAGGTCAGGCAATCATTGAGAGAACACATCACACCCTAAAATCCCTTCTGGACAGACAGAGAAGGGGTGAGCCAGAGGCAACACCTCACATGAAATTAAATAAGGCACTGTATGTGCTGAATTTCCTAAATAGCTCATCCTCGGAACCTGATCCACCGATCGTGAGACATTTTCTAAACAACACACAGGCAAAGCTAAGGGAAAATCCTTTAGTTTTGATCAGGAACCCAGAGACCGGACAAATAGAGGGTCCTTTCAGACTAATCACTTGGGGAAAGGGTTTCGCTTGTATCTCCACAGATCGAGGTCTGAAGTGGGTGTCAGCGCGGCACGTGAAGCCATTCCGAACGCGAGAACACGAGAATGCTGATCCGAGAAACAAAGAGACAAGTACTCAGACAGAAGTCGAGACTCAGGCTGCGAAAAACGACCCAGAAGAGAAATGAAAAGAAACTAAGGACTTTGGGGGGCTTTCACATAAAAGCAAAAAAAAGGTCTTTTGGTGCAAACAGAAGGGGGAGATGTGGGATCTCAGTCTCTCAGAACTGGGGTGCAGGGTGAACAAGACCCCCCCTGGGGGGCTCGGGAGTCCTGGAGTGCTGCCAGAAATGTCTGGTGGCTGGACTTTGATCCCACATGGGAGATGACATCAGTATGAGGACGGGAGGATTTCACTGGGGTGAATGGTGAAGGAACAAGTTAATTGGAGTGTGAGATACAGGGTTTAAGATCCCTGTACAGGGGGGTCTAGAGAGGCAAGATGGAGGGATTGGGGCGTGCCCTTCTCCTTCTTCTTCTTCCTCTAGGCCTCCATCTTCTGTGGTGATGTTGGCACTCCGGGATTGGACCTTACTAGGGGAACACTGGTTAATATGGGTAGAGGGTATTGGAGAAAAATGATAAATATTGTATACGTAACTCCGGGTATAAAGATAGGTGACCGCCCCAGGGGCTTTCAGTGTGTGCCCATGGCTGACTGCTGAGCAGAACTCTGTCAGGCCAAGAGAAAATCTTTTAGATAAGCAATTAATAAACACCAAGACCAAGAACAAATCTGAAGCTTCCTCTCGTCCTTTCGAACCCGGGGGCCCCAGGCCATCTTTGGGCTTTTCCCCAGACCATCTAAACAGCCGAGAAATCCAACAGGTTTGGCTTAAATTTTCTTCTGCTTCATCTTCATCTCTTCAAAACCACCAAAACAGGGTTAAATGAAATAAATTGATCAAAGATGTCTAAAGTCCCAAAATTTCAGAGTTTTTTAAAGGGGAATTGATGGTTTGGGGACAATATTCTGGAGGATTTGTGGGTTCTGGGGGGATTTTGCGCAGTATTCTCCATCTCTTTGCACTCCAAAAGCCAAGAGTGTCACCTCAAAACAACTGAATCCCACTGAAAACTACTGAATTTTAATTCATACAGTCCCAATCCCACTTCAAAATGCCTTGTTGGCACTTCAAAAAAACTCAATCCCACAGCAGACTCACTTGATTTCACAGATGCCAGGTTGAGATGGGGTTGGAAGGCGATTGGGAGAAGTGGGATCCCAATTTGGAGCGGTGGGGATGGGGATTGTGTGGGACTGGGTGGGTGGGATGTATCTGATATTAAATAAACCTTTCAGGGTTACTGATTTCTGTCCCGTTCATTTTCAGTCGCTTGCAGTTCTGTTTGCAGAGTGCCACCTTCTCAGCTGATTGTGTTTGTGTCCCCTGTTCTCTCCTGCCTCTCTTTGCCTGCTCTGTTTCTCTCTCAGTGTCTCCCTTGAGCAAGGGCAGCTGCCACCAAAGACCCTGCCCTGATTTAGTTCCCAGTGCAGGAGCTACAACAGCCATGGGTGAAGTTCTGAAGGTTGGCAGTGAAATGTCACTGTAGGATCTTGCTCCACTTGGCTTTCAGCCCCTTCTTAAGAGCTTTGCATTCAAGGGCAGGAACATCTTTTCCTGGCTGGGAACTGGAATTCCAGACCCTTGGGGTGTGTGCCGTGCAGGACCATACAGACTGGGATCATACAGACTGGGATCCCACAGACTGGGACTGCGCAGACTGGGACCATATGGATCAGGACCATACAAACTGGGATCATGTGGACTGGGATCCCACAGACTGGGTCTGCATGGACTGGGACCATGTGGATCAGGACCATACAGACTGGGATCATACAAACTGGGATCATATGGACTGGGATGGCTGCACTGGACAATGCAAATCGAGGCGGTCCCAGCCCTGCCCAGGGCTTCCTGCCAGTCACTCCCAGTCCCACCTGAGGGCACAGCCAAAGCTCTGGAGAGAATGTGGATGTCCTGGAGTGATCCAGGTACAGGTCCTTGTACCAGTCTTGGAGCAATCCTGGAGTGATCCTGTTCCTGGTGCTGACCTTGGTCTCAGTCTCAGTCCCAGAGCACCCCCAGTACCGGTCTCAGTTCACCCACTCAATGCCATGTTCCCCAGCCCAGGTTTTGATAAGGCCATTCTTGAAATGGGTCCTGTTGTCTGACACAGGTCTCTCAGGGTTGCTATGTCTCAAAAGGACTTGCTTTTCAAGGCCCAGGATGGTGTTCCAGGCAGTGCTGTGATGCACTGGGTAGGTCTCCATCCATCCACCATGATCAGCACATAGCGCTTGCCCTGGCGTGTGTGGGGCAGTGTGATGGAGTCAATCTGCCAGGCCTCTCCATACTTGTACTTGGACCACCGCCCACCGTACCACAGGGGCTTCACTTCCTTGGCCTGCTTGATGGCAGCACACGTCTCAGTCATGCATAACCTGAGCAATACTGTCCATGGTTAGATCCACCCCTCGGTCTTGTGCCCACTTATAGGTGGCATCTCTGCCCTGATGGCCTGAGGCATTATGGGCCCATCGAGCTAGGAATAACTCTCACTTCTGTTCCCAATCTAGGTCTATCTTTGACACCCTTATCTTTGCAGCCTGATCTACCTGCTTGTTGTTTCGATGTTCCTCATTAGCTCTACTCTTGGGGACATGGGCACCTTCATGGCGGACCTTCACAGGCAGTTTCCCTACCCTGGTAACAATGTCTTTCCACTCATCAGCAGCCCAGACTGGGTTTCCTCTATGCTGCCAGTTGGCCTCTTTCCACTTCTCTAGCCATCCCCATAGAGCACTGGCTACCATCCAAGAATCAGTGTAGAGGTAGAGCTTTGGCCATTTCTCTCAGCAATGTCCAGGGCCAGCTGAACAGCTTTGAGTTCCACAAGTTGGCTTGATCCGCCTTCTCCTTCAGTGGCCTCTGCCACCTGTCATGTGGGGCTCCATACGGCTGCTTTCCACTTCTTCATTCCCACAATGCGGCACGAACCATCAGTAAAGAGAGCGTATCGTGTATCTTCTGCTGGCAGTTGGTTGTATGGTGGAGCTTCTTCAGCCCGTGTCACTTCTTGTTCCCCTTCATCAGCAAGACCAAAGTTTTCACCTTCTGGACAGTTTGCAATTATTTCCAGAATCCCAGGCCCATTCAGGTTTCCAACACGGGCGTGCTGGGTGATAACAGCAATCCATTTGCTCCATGTAGCACTGGTGGCATGGTGCGTAGAGGGAGCTTTTGCTTTGAACATCCACCCCAGCACCAGTAGTTTGGGTGCCAGGAGGAGTTGTGCTTCAGTGCCTATTACCTCTGAGGCAGCCTGGACTCCTTCATAGGCAGCTAAGACTTCCTTCTCTGTTGGAGTATAGTTGGCTTCGGACCCTCTGTATCTTCGACTCCAAAATCTCAGTGGTCAGCCTCGAGTCTCCCCAGTCTCTTCTGCAAAAGGACCCAGGACAAGCCATGGTTCCCGGCTTGAGAGAACAGCACCTTCTTCACCTCTGGTATTGTCCTGACTGGGCCAAGGGCTACTGCATGAGCAATCTCCTGCTTGATCTGGGCAAAGGCTTGTTGCTGCTCAGGGCCCCACTGGAAAGTGTTCTTCTTGCGGGTTACCAGGTAGAGAGGCTCACGATCTGACTGTACTCAGGAATGTGCATTCTCCAAAAGGCTATGGCACCTAGGAAGGCTTGTGTCTCCTTATTGGCGGGTGGAGACGTTGCTGTGATCTTCTTAAAGACATCTGTAGGAATCTGATGCCGTCCATCTTGCCACTTCACTCCTAGGAACTGAATCTCATGAGCTGGTCCCTTTACTTTGCTCTTCTTGGTGGCGAAGCCAGCTTTTAGGAGAATCTGGATGATTTTCTCCCCTTTCTCAAACACTTCTGCAGCCGTGTGCCCCCACACAATGATGTCATCAATATACTGCAGATGTTCTGGAGCCTTACCCTTTTCCAGTGCAGCCTGGACCAGTCCATGGCAGATGGTGGGGATGTGCTTCCACCCCTGGGGCAGTCGGTTCCAGGTATACTGCACTCCCCTCCAGGTGAAAGCAAACTGAGGCCTGCATTCTGCTGCCAGAGGAGTGGAGAAAAATGCATTGGCAATGTCTATAGTGGCAAAGCACTTCGCTGCCTTGGACTCAAGCTTGTACTGGAGCTCTAATATGTCTGGCACAGCAGCACTCTGGTGGAGTCACTTCATTCAATGCACGATAGTCCACAGTCAATCTCCATTCTCATTCAGATTTTCACACAGGCCAGATGGGGCTGTTGAAGGGTGAGTGGGTTTGGCTGACCACCCCTTGGCTCTCCAGCTCTCAGATCATCTTATGGACGGGGATCACAGCATCTCGAGTGGTTCTATACTGTTGTTGATGCGCTGTGGAAGTGGCAATTGGCACCTGTTGCTCTTCTCCCATCAGGCATCCTGCTGCAGATGGATTCTCAGACAGCCCAGGCAAGGTGTTCAATTGATGGATGCCCTCTGTCTCTACAGCTGCTATCCCAAATGGCCACCTGAGTCCTTTTGGGTCTTTGAAATAGCCGCTTCGAAGGTAGTCTATGCCCAAAATACATGAAGCCTCTGGGCCAGTCACGATAAGATGTTTCTGCCACTCATTTCCAGTCAGGCTCACCTCAGCTTCCACCAAAGTGAAATCCTGGGATCCCCCTGTCACACCAGCAATAGAAACAGACTCTGTCCCCACATATCTCGACGGAATTAATGTACATTGAGCACCAGTATCAACCAAAGCTTTGTATTCTTGTGGTTCTGATGTGCCAGGCCAACGAATCCACACAGCCCAGAAAACACGGTTTTCCCTAGCCTCTACCTGGCTAGAGGCAGGGCCCCTCTAAGCCTGGTTATCCTTCTTTCCCTGGGCATATGTCTTGGATGTTCCTTCAAGGGTATCAGACATGTCATCATCATCATCATACCTGGCAGTTCGGCTACGGGCAACTGGAGCTGCTTTCCTTTTGGTAGAACTCCCTCTCTGAGCCCTGTCTTCCTTCAATTCACGCACCCGTTGTGCCAGAGCAGCAGTAGATTTTCCATGCCATCTCCTCATGTTTTCTCCACAATAACGCAGGTAGAACCATAGCTCAGCTCGTGGGGTGTACCTTCTCTCGCCATCTGGGGAATGTCTGCCTTGGATACCAGAACCTCTGATCTGCACTGCTGAGATTTGGAGAAGGTCTTCTTTAATCTCCTCTGTGAGCTTCTTATGATTCTCCTCTATCTTGTCCTCTAATTTCTGCAGACATGTTCCTACCGCTGCAATTCTGGAATGTGTTGGGCCATGTACAGCATCTGCGTATGCTCGGAGCTTCCTTGCCATGTCAAGCACAGTCTCATCCCTCTCATCCCTCTTCATTATGGCTAAGGCAGAAGGATATTCGTGTGTCCCAAGTCGTACCAGTTTTTGCCACATCACAGACGTGCATGGTACCAAGTCTGGGTTCCTAGTTGCTACATGATCTGAGAAGATAATCTCTGCCACTGCCATTTCTCTCAGGCGTTGGATACCTTGCTCTATGGTCTTCCACTGCGTTTGTTGCATATAAAGATCATCTGCACACAGGTATCTTTTGCAACACTTTCCAAGACCCGTGCCCAGAGGCTGTGTGGATTAGCCCCCCTCATCATTCCTTGGTCAATGACAGGATCCTGTGACAGGGATCCCAAATACCTGGCTTCAGTGCCATCCAGAATTGTAGCCTCGCCTGCAGCATCCCAGAGACGGACTAACCAACTAATTACGGATTCATCAGGTCGTCGAGTGTAATCCTTCTGTAGGCCACGAAGGTCCTTCAGTGAAAAGGACTCAATATTTGCTTCTGATCTTGCACCTGCTGCTTTGACTCCTGATTTTATGTCAGCAGGCATTGAGGTTCCTTCTCCTGCATCATCATCATCATCCACTGGTTGATTAGTCTTGTCCGTGCATTTCCCACTTCTAATACTGGTAGCAACAGCCATTGTTTCAGCTGCTGGCTTAGGCTCACTGTCTGGTCTGCCTGGTGGCTTCGAGCCTGGGGTGTTGGCTGCTGTCTGAGTGATTGGGATACCTGATTTATCTCCCTGCCCCCCTGCCTCTGTCTGCTGCCCTAGAGTATCTAGCAGTGTGCGATAAGCATATGCCAGGGCCCAGCTCACTGCAATGATCTTTTTCTCCTTAGGCTCATCCTGGTACTTCTTTTTCAGATATTTGCCCACCTCAGCTG